AGATCAATAGTTACTTTTATTGTCAGTATCATGATTACTGTCATTATCACAGGGCTTACACATGCTAGATGCTCTATAAATATTTAAAGCATTAGTGTGCCCAAGATGGGAAGCCAGCAACATGTTTGGCGAGTAAGTAAATGAATGAATGAGTTTCCAGCTCTCCCCTCTCAATAAAGCACAATCCTGGTTTATTTCCATCTTATGCAGCCTTCCTTCAACTCTCTGGGAAGATGTGTCTTTCCCTGGGAAGCAGACCCTATTTAAGCCTCAGACCCCTCCCATCCAAGCTCCTACAGGCTATTTCACTGAACTCACTCTGTCTTCTCTCCTCAGTTTCTCCCTCTCCAGTCGTGTGCATCATGCCATTGGTCCATCAAAGATTCTATTCCTTCTGCCTACACCCAACAAGGCAAGGGGGACGATGAGGCTAGAGAGACACCTTAGGCACAAAATTTAAGGAGGCATCATCTTCAGGGTCATGTATGTATGAGTGTGCCTTCTTCTTGCAGGTGAAAGTGGGGTCCTTTCATGGGATCACAAGGAAGGCATTCCAGGGACCCATTCACAGGAGGTTGTGGTGAGGTAAGGTTAATTTTGGGTAGACTAGAAGGCTGCTCCCAAGTTTTCAATATCTCATCTCTGTCTGTCCCACCATGGGAAAAGTTCAGTCTTGTCTTCATCAAACCCAATACAAAGGCCAAGGTACAAAAGTTCTGTGCCATGATGAAATTTAGTTCATGTGTGTACCCAGTGCTCATGCTTGGTCCACTCCGCTGCCGGCCACAGATGACTGCTACAAAATGCATGAACGTACCGGACTAGTGTAAGAGAGAGGGAGGGAGGGAGGGAAGGAGAGAGAGAGAGAGAGAGAGAGAGAGAGAGAGAGAGAGAGAGAGAGAGAAGGAGACCCTTTGTTAGGCTGATTATATTATATCAGGCTTGAGAAAAACTTCTTCAAATTAACCAATCAATTTCCCAAGGCTTTGCTGGCTTTTGATGTGTGGACCCCTTAATCGATCTATTTTCTCAATCTTCTGGGATTTTGTGTCCCTTATCCAATATGATCTTTTCCCCAGGCTAGACAGCCCTCTTGGCTTTTATTGTGCATGCACCCAGCAGAGGAATTTCTTTTGTTTTTATTCCTCCCCCTGCAAGCCCTCTTCAAGAGATTGGATCCCAGGGGTGGAGGATGCCCTGGGGAGGGCGTGAAGCTGGAACTTCCTAGTGAAGCAGTCCTGATATTGGCTTCTGCTTCCCAGTTTATTATGCTTAATAACATCTGATTCCCTTTGCTCCCTTCCTTTATTGATATTTAGTTATCTAGGCTAACAATCTCAGGGATGCAAGGCACATCCGATCCACACATGTGGGCACTGCCTCAAATCCAGTCTTCCTGCCAGCTCACAGCACTGCTGCCTATGCTGACTAGTAAGGGAGGGGGTGGGCTTGAGCTCCCTGCCGGGGCAGCAGCCCTTGGGGCTGGCCAGTCCTGGTGGCATGCTGTGGGCTGGCAGACCATGCAGGCAGCTGGCCGCTCCGTGGGAGCTGGAAACCATATAGGTGAAGGCAGACAGGAAGACAAGGCTTAGGAGGGGTTTTTCCTGCATTCTCAGCCCCCATCCCGCAGCACAGCCTTGAAGTGGTGAGCAGAGGCTCACCCACTCTGCCCTCCTCTCTCTCACCCTTGGCTCCTGAATAGCCTGCTGAGCTTCCTTCCTTTCTATCTGGGGCTCTGCCTCTGCCTCCCGTCCTAGCCCACTCTCTTCTCTCCTCAAACACCCCCACCTCTTTATCCCTTACTTCTTCCCTGGGAGGAAACAAAGCCCCATTCTGCCGTCACGCCAGTCCAAGGAGCAAGGGCAAATATAAATGGGCAGATACAGGGCATCGCATGTGCATGGCACACCTTTCACACCCACCCAGCTTCCACCTGGCCCTGCACCTCTTTCTGCACCCGGCAGCTCTCGAGGTTAATGTGAGCTCAGGCAGCTGTTTGGCCATACTTAACAGCTGCTCCCCACTCCAGCCCCAGCAAAGGTGAGCTGATGGCACTAGGGCCCTTCCACAGAGCAAATGGAGCTACCTGTGCAGGCTCCCAGGAGGGCCTGGGGAAGGCTGGGGAGCAGCTCCCCGCCAGCTGCCACCAGCTGCCCTCTTAAGGGATGCAGAAAGAGCCCCTTGAAGTCACCAGCTAACTTCCTCCAGTGCACCCCCATGTAGCTGGGTAATTACTGTGGTCTGACCAATGATTAGCGGTGGGGGTGACCTGCCACCGCAGGCTTAACCCTTCTTGCACCTTCCTCAGTCCATGTTCTCCAGTTGTCACACACCCTGAAGTTTTTCCCTTTGGGGAGGTGGGGTATTTTCTACTTCTCCCTGACCTCCCCCTCCCTCTTCCTCTCAAAAAAAGGCCAGGAGAGATTGCACCCTATTTCCTGCTCTGATGGACCACTCCAAACAGAGTCTGCAAGGAGAGAGTGTGACTGCCCACTGTCTTCCCCCAAGAAAAGCAGCGTCTGTATTTCCATCATTCCCACCGCCTCCCGGTGCGGGGCCTGAACTTCACGCTCATCCATCCCACTTAACACGTGCTGGGAGGGCCTGTCCTCCTCAGGGAAAGCCTGTCCTTGGGGATACAACAGGGCAGCAGGGAAGGGGGCCTGATTCCCACTCCCAGAGCTCCCAGCCTCGAAGGGAAAGGGGGAGCAGGGAATGCTCACACCTCAAAGGCGTGTTCTGCATCGACCTAGCTCTCCTCTCTTCCCTCTCTCTGGCCCTTTCGTGGCGATGGTTAACATTGTTTGAGTGATACTCTGCACCAGAGCCCCTCCTGAATCCTTACATGCGCTGGGTTACACATCTCATGTCCTCATCAAAACTGGACTCCTCGAGGGCAAGGCCTATGCCTTTCACGCGTGTCCCCAGCTCCTGGCTCATAAGTAGACGCTCAATAAATATCTGACACATGAGTGATGGAATTGGCAACGGGGTCGTCATGATTGCCTTCCTTTGGCCTCTGCCCCAGGACTCCTGTTCTGCCCCTTTCTCTGTATCGATTTCCCTCCTACTCCAGGCAGGACCATCACAGCAACTGCTCCCCAGACTTCCTGCCTCTTCTTTCTCCCTCCGCCAGCCCTGCCTGCTGTCCTCCCACCAGCCAGTCAGAGCCAGTTTAACATGGCATCAGCCCCTCCCTCCACGCAGTGCTGCGCGGAGCCTTTCTGGCCCCACCGGCTTCGGAGCCATCTGCAGTGGACAGCATGTGTCAACTCCTGGGTCCCGGGGCCCCTCTCAGCCCTGCTAGGCCAACCTCCCGGAGAACCCAAGTATTCCACACGGTTGAGGGCCACTGGTCTCCAGAATAAGTCTGATACTTAAGCCGATATTCAAGGCCTCCAGAATCTGACCCCCAACCTCCCTCTCCATTCTCACCCACGTCAGCCCTAAAGGATTCTTCCTCAAGAACCTTCATGGTCCCTGCAGCCACTTGGGCCTTCCTGCTGCCAAGCCTTACACACTCAGCTCTCTATGCTCAGAACCACCCTCAACCATTTTCTCAGCCTATCCACATCACGCCCATCTTCAACCTGCAGTTCAAATGCCATCTTTTAAGGAAGTGTCCCCTGCTCACATCCGCAGAGACCCCTTCCCCGCACCCTCCGGCAACATGGACAGCCTGCGCTGCCCTCGGCACAGAGCCATGCCTTCCCGCCGCGGTCCTCCCCTTCCCAAGCGGACCGTTTCCACAATGTGAGTGTGAGTCCCCGGAGACAGGAGCCCCATCCCAGAATCCTCCTGCTCAACGACCACCAGGTCTGCCTGGTTCCCAGCTGGGTCCAGAGTGAAGCATCCGATGTGAAGACAGGTCAGAAGCTGTGCAGAACTAGACACTGCAAGCCACGCTTAGGGACACACGGGGAATGTTCTCATCTTCTCGCAACGCTTCCCTGACTCAAGAAACCAAGCACTAACTCCAAGCGAGAAGAGAAACAGGGTGAGTCGGGGGTGGCTGGTGAAAGGGACCACACTTTGAAGATTGAAGTTCAAATCCCAGCTCTGCCACTCCGGGACATCCACAAGGTGCTATCCTCGCTCTGGTTTTCAAATCCTCCGTCTCTAACAAGGCAATAACAGGATTCTCTCTGAGAAGATTTGTAGGGCTTCCAGGAAGCAAACGATATAACCATGTCTAGAATTTATGCACTCCTTTAAGAAATGTTTTTTACACATTCGTGATGTGCTAAGCACCAAGGGGAGCACAGAAATGAGTAGAAGACCTTGTTGGCAAACAGTCTGTGGAGACGGAAAATTGTTGCCGAACAGTGTGCTGAGACAAGGAGGTTCCTCACTCTGCCTGTGGTTGGGAGGCTTGAATGGGAGCCTGGCTGGCTATGTGACCGCACCAAGTCCAGAAGGAATGCTGCTGAAGAAACAAGTGCAATGCCTTAGAAGCGTGCAGTTGGTAGAAGAGACTGTTTGCACTTGGTGTGGCTACAGAGCAGAATAAACATGGGAGACCAACCTGGAAGAGCAGGCTGGAATGGGACTTAGCAGAGCCTTGTATGCTAAGCCAAGCGTGTAGTCTTCGTCTTGAGGGTAGTAGGAGGCCAGGGAGAACTGGGAGCAGAGGAGGAGTGACTATGGAGATTGCAGTGGAGAGGGCTCTCTGAGGCTGCAGCTGGACAATCAGTCAGGGCAGGGTGGAATGCAGGGAGGGAGAGAGGGAGGCAGGGGGGAAGGGAGGAAAGGAGGGATGCAAGGGGGCCGGAAGTTGGAGGATAGGATGTAAGCTTGTGTGTGGGTGCTTGTGGCCTGTGATTGCATAGCCAACCAACCAAGACACATGAAAGAGGCTGACTTACGAGAAACCGCTCCTGGAAGAATCCAGCAATGCTTGCAGCCAACTTCCACTTTACTCTGAATATTTTCAGTTTCGGGACATCTTGTTGTGAGTCAAGATTCCTCCTTTTGATCATGGGGTTTTCCAGAAAGACCTCAGCGCCTTCCATGCCTCCCCACTTGACCTAGGATGTTGTGGACTCTGAGTGTCAAGGGAGGTTGCCTGCCTCTCTGGAGAAGGATGGCTGTGTGGTCCCTGTGGATTCTGCTTCTCTGGACAGGTAAGTGGAGCAGGGGAGTGGCCCGTCCTCAAGGAGCTGATCCCTCCAGCTGCCCCTCGCCAGATGTCTGGACAGGATTCCCCAATTCTAAGTAAGAACCCAGGAACTGAGAAGGGGTAGGAAAGACTGGAGCAAGTTTGGGGGAAACCTTTAAAACTAGGCAGAGGCAAAGAGATGCAGGGTTCTGGGTGGAAGGAGGTGGCAGCTCTGGGAGAATCCAAGCCCAGGAGACTCGAGCTGTTTTGTGGCCAAGGGCAGTTAAAACTGAGGCTGGTGGTACCAGTGATTTGGAAAGAGTTGTCTGTGAGAATGACAAGGGTCTGGCAGTGGTAACACAATAATTCCAAATATAATTTGGGGAGATGAGGGGAGGGCAGGGCTCTTTCAAATGAAGGATGTTTTTTCAACAGCCTGTGGAAAGCTGAATCCTTTCCTAGGTCTGTTTAAGGGGCAATGGATACTGAGTAGGGATGGGAGGTGAGACCAAGTTTAATGTATCACATGTGGACCTGGAGTGGCCAATCATGTTGTGATGGGATGCTTACCTGTTGGGTCTGTACAGCCCTGGACAATCCCTCCATCCAGGGATTGGATCCCTCCATCCAGGGATTGTCTGGTGCCTGACTTCCTTTCCTTGGTTAAGTAGTGCTCAGTGTGACATGGGCCAGCATTGCAAAGCCAGGGGACAGGAGTCTTGGGATGTAGCAAAGACAAAGACACCTTTGGTTTTTTTGGTGTTATTGTTGTTGGGTTTGTTGTTTTTTTTTTCAATTTTTATTTATTTATTTTTGTTACAGATGTTTCTCCTATGTCCCCCCTAGGCACCCTCCTCCCCAGCCTGCCCCCCTCCCCAAGCATTGTTGTTTATGTCCATTGGTTACGCATACATGCATATAAGTTCTTTGGTTTATCTCATCCATCCCCCTTGCCCCGCCCCCCTCCTCTGAGGTTTGTGGGTCTGAATTGTACTCCTTTCTGTGTCTCGGGGTCTATTTTGTTAATCAGCTTACTTTGTTCATTATATTCCACAAATAAGTGAGATCATGTGGTATTTGTCTTTCCCTGATTGGCTTATTTCGCTTAGCATAATGCTCTCCAGGTCCCTCCATGTTGTCTCAAAGGATAAGAGATCTCTCTTTCTTACAGCTGCATAGTATTCCACAGTGTATATGTACCACAGCTTTTTTATCCACTCATCTACTGATGGACACTTGGGCCGTTTCCAGATCTTAGCAATTGTAAATAGTGCTGCTATGAATATAGGGGTACATATATTCTTTCTGATTGGAAAGACACTTTTGTTTACCTCAGACTCACAGTGACTTTGTGATGTCTCTGTCCAGTGTCCCTCCTGAGTCCCCAACCTTGAGAGCTCCAAAGGTTCTGCAGATTTCAACATTTCTAAACATGTGGAGGAAATTCCTCAAAAAAAAAAAGTCTGTTTGTTTCAAAAATATTTCAAATCCTTGGCTATGAGAGACAAAAATATTTTTTTCCAAAAGGCTGTTAATGGTAAACAAGATGAATACAACTGGCTAGTGCACCCCCTTGTTTTATCAATGGGACAGAGGAAGCCCAGAAAGAAGTGTGGAGGCTGAAGGTCACACAGTTCATTCTGGGCCAAGCAGGGCAGGATAGAACCCAGGAGTCTTGACTAACATCCAGTGGTACTTCTTCTCACTCTATGTGTCCACTCCGCATTTACCCTGAAGTCATCCCCAATCAAGCCTGGGATGATTTGGGCCGGGGAGGGCAGTAAGATGGACGAGGGGCTAGAATTACCAGTGGCTTGTTGAGTGGCCATTGAACACGTCTCCTTAACCAAACTCTCAGCACCTGGGTATGTTCCACATCTGCTCTTATTCTGCCCTGCACCCCTGTGCCCACCCCTGTGCCAGGCACAAAGTAAATCTTCAAATGCTGCCATTCATTTGGTAAAATTTGCTGAGCCTTAATATCCTTCTCTGGAACCATGGTGAGCACTGTCAGTGCAAAGATGAAAAGTGGAATTCACAGTAGTGGGGGACGCCGACTCATAAACAGGTGGTAACAACAGAGATAAAGCCAGTTCATAGCTGTGTTCCTAGGCTGCCGAGGGAACATGGAGATGGATGGGGAGATTAGGAAACCTCAGTGCTTCACGAACGAGCAGAAATTAGCCAGTGAAGGAGGCAAGGGGCACTTCAAGCAGAGGCATCATACCCACACACCTCGAACTCAACATGTTCCCAGCGACACTCAGCATCCTGCCACCTCCCCGTCTTTCCATTCTGTTTCTCCTTCTGTTCTGGGTCACAGAGAATGGCACCTGGTGGGTTCCAAGGAGCCATCCTTGACTCCTTTCTCTCACTCCTCAGCTCCACCCTGTTACCAGATCCCATTGATGATGCGTCTTTATCTCTCTTGGTTCCTGCCACCTCTCCCCATCCCAGTTGCTCCCCTCAATACAATTTCCCATCACTCACCTTTGGATTAATAGAAGCAGCCTCAGTCTTGTTCCACCTACAATGCATCCTCTGCCCCTCTGCTGGAGTGATCTTTCTAACATGCCTCTAATCCTGTTACTCTTATTTAAAATCCATTGCTCTAAGGATAAAGCCCAAATGCCAATGTCACATTCAGGGCCCTGCAGGATTTGGTTCCCTCCAACTCGTCAGTGCAATTTCTTACTCCCTCTGCAGAAAACTACTTTCAGTTCCCCATGCACCATGCTCTCATCCTCCAGGCCTTCGTCCTCACTGTTTCCTTTGCCCATCTCCACTCCAGGCAGCCCTCTGCTTGGCCTCGCTGATTCGATTTCTCCTTTGGGCCGCAGTTTAACTGAGCCCCTCAAGACCAGGTGTGGTTACATGATCATCCTGTCTGTGTTCTCCAGAGCACTTCCTTTTTTTCCATTATGGTACTTAACTTAGTATATTTTAATCACTTGCTTCCTCTCTGAGCTCCATGAGCACAGGCACCAAATTCTTATTGTCTTATTCCCAGCCCCTGGTACAGTGCATTCTCACTGGGGTGAAGGGAGTGTGTGGGGAGGGCCCTAATTTTCTCCACACTGCGTGCAGGAGAGATGAGGAGCTTGGGGCAGGCAGAGTGACATGACTCTGTTCTTGCAGCATCACTTCCTGTTGCGGTTACTGATGCCCAAGTGCTGGGCCAGGTGGGGGGCTCAGTGCTGCTGGTGGCAGAGCACCACCCTGGCTTCCAAGTTCGAGAGGCCATCTGGAGATCTCTCTGGCCTTCAGAAGAGCTCCTGGCCACGTCTTTCCGGGGCTCCCTGGAGACTCTGTACCACTCCCGCTTCCTGGGCCGAACCCAGCTGCACAGCAACCTGAGCCTGGAGCTCCGGCCACTAAAGTCTGGAGACAGCGGCAACTTCTCTGTGTTGCTAGTGAACACTGAAGGTCGGGCCTGGATCCAGATCCTGCAGCTCAAGGTGTATGGTGAGTGTGCCTGACCCTGGCTCTCTGCCCCACCTTCCCTCACTACGTCCTGAAAAGGCATCTTGAGTCCTGGGAGCTAGAGAACTGCGTTCCAGAAACCTTGGACCTCTGACTTCGCGGCTAATTCAGAGACCAGCTGCTCTCCTGCACCCACATCTGAGAAAACTCTTCAGGCTCTTTCAGAGGAGCGCCTATCTGGGGCAGCCCAGCTCTGTCCCCTCTAGTCCCAGTCTGAGCTCCAACACGGCATTTTCTTAATTCAGTGGTCTTGGATACAATGCTTAGCTCTGACGTCGGCCTTCTCATTGGTAAAGTGGGCATCATGATATTACCACAAAATGTTCATAACAGTGAAATACAATGGTGCTTGGAAAAGCATCTAGGACAGAAGTTGACCTATACTTCAACAGTTCAATGGTATCAGATTATGACGTGCCATTATTTTATGTACCACTACGAAAGAAAAATGTTGCCAATTAAACTATGAGACAATATTTTTATTAAAAATTAAGTTATAATTCAATTGTAGTTAAAAGTACAGAACTTTTTAAAGAGTTCTTTCAGATATATTTTAAGATTTTAACAATAATATTCACGGGTTCTTTCAGTCATTCATTGTTGCAAAACATACCATCCCAAACCTTACCAGCTAAAAGCAGCTATTTTTATTTCTCACAATTCTGTAGGTTAGCCTGGCTCAGGTAGCAGACCTCTGTTCCACGTGGGTTTGCCAAGGTCATTCATGCAGCTGCATTCAGCATCTCGGCTGGGGTGTCTGAACTCACTGGGGACAGGAAGGGTCTTTCTTTCCAGTAATTTTACCTGCACCTCCATGACAACAACCTCTACCATAACCTCTACCACTATCACTACCTCCACATCTACCTCCACCATCACCGCCTCCACCTTCGTCATCCCACCACTATCACCACCTCCACCTCCATCTCCACCACCCCCACCATCACCTCCACCTCCATCTCCACCACCCCCACTATCACCTCCACCTCCATCTCCACCACCCCCACCATCACCTCTGCCTCCATCTCCACCACCCCCACCATCACCTCCACCTCCATCTCCACCACCCCCACCATCACCTCCACCTCCATCTCCACCACCCCCACTATCACCTCTACCTCCATCTCCACCACCCCCACCATCACCTCCACCACCCCCACCATCACCTCCACCTCCACCACCCCACCATCACCTCCATCTCTACCACCTCCACCATCACCTCCACCACCCCCACCATCACCTCCACCTCCATCTCCACCACCCCCACCATCACCTCCACCTCCATCTCCACCACCCCCACCATCACCTCCACCTCCATCTCCACCACCCCACCATCACCTCCACCTCCATCTCCACCACTCCACCATCACCTCCACCTCCACCACCCCACCATCACCTCCACCTCCATCTCCACCACCCCCCACCATCACCTCCACCTCCATCTCCACCACCCCCACCATCACCTCCACCTCCATCTCCACCACCCCCACCATCACCTCCACCTCCATCTCCACCACCCCCACCATCACCTCCACCTCCATCTCCACCACCCCCACCATCACCTCCACCTCCATCTCCACCACCCCCACCATCACCTCCACCTCCATCTCCACCACCCCCACCATCACCTCCACCTCCATCTCCACCACCCCCACCATCACCTCCATCTCCACCACCCCCACCATCACCTCCACCTCCACCACCCCCACCATCACCTCCATCTCTACCACCTCCACCATCACCTCTGTCATTACTTCTACCACTATTACTACCCCTACCTCCACCTCCACCACCTTTGCTATATTTCTGCTTATCAAGAAAAAAAGACCTTCTAGCTCTCATTTATTTACCTAATGACTTGGAAATGATGTATGAATGACCCCAAAGCATAATGTTAGTAAAACCTCAGAAATTTGGTAGAGGGAAAGAAAAGCTGCAAATTTAAGAATGGAGACTGGAGGTGACAGCTAGGAAGAGGGAAACAATAAGGGAGAGAAAGGCAGTAGCAAATTGGGAGGAGAGAGACACCCCACCCCCACCCCCACCCCCACCCTGAAACAGCTAACTGGCTTTCCTTGGGTATGCCACTCAGGGTGCTGATATTCAATTAGATGGGTGTCCTTCTGGATGCAGGCAACCCTGAACCAGGTGTACAGTTTGGCAAGCAGTGCTGGCTGGATTTCAGCACCCCCCCCCCACCTTCACCTGTTACCCCCTTAGCCAATGCCCTAGTGCAGTGAATAACCTATGAAACTATACAGGGAGCCCTGGAGCTTCTCCCTTGTTCTGAGTCTCAGCTGCGGCACATGTAAAATGAGGACACTGAGTATGATAATACATGCAGCACCCACACCACTAAACTCTAAAATGCCTTGTTCTCAGCATCTGAATTACAAATTTTAAGGAAATTGCTGTTTTATTGCTTCCAAATACATAGCTTGATTAGAACTAATTGCACAAAGCTGCCAAACAGCCGTCCTTAGGAGCTTTGCTTTGACAGTAGATAAAAAGGGATTTGAATTAGCAGATCGGTTACTAGAAATGTCAATGGTGTTTCTACTGTGCTCATCGTGTTTGGAAGCAGCTTGTCCCTGTAAGTAGTATAAATATCTCCCCTGTAATCTTTGTTTATACTATTAGTGTGCCCAGCAAATTTTTTCTTTTCTCATATCACAAACCCCGGCATATTGAGCTGGCATCCGTGAGTTTTGACTCTACTTGACTCTGGAATGCTGTCGGGCGCTGAGCCATCTATCTCATTGTCACCAGAATGCTCTCCCGCTGGCCCCCATCGCCAGGGAGACTCGGGCTTTACTCATCAACCTATATAGGAAAGGAGGAGAGCCAGGACACCAATGTGCTCAATGGCCCAGGTAGCTGAGGATCTGGAGAGCGAGGGTTATAGAGATAACAAGACAGAGCCCCTTCAGAGCATTTTGCACCATTGTAATTATTTTCTTAATTATTTATTACCATTTGTCAGTGTTTGCCTTTCTCACCAAACTCTAGGCTCCAAAAGTCCAGGAATGTGTATGTTTTTTGTTTTGTTTGTTTTGTTTTGTTTTTTTGCCTGACCTAATAAATGCTCTTAGCCTCTGTGACTGATATACCACGAGAAAAGGGCTGTGACAAGAGATAGACAGAGGGCTTGGGAAGTGCAGAACCATACCTGGAGTAGCAGGGAAGGCTTCATTTTCGGGGCAGCAAGCGATGTGTCCCAGCTGGACCCAGGAGTTTTCCGGGAGCACAAGAAGAGAAAGGTGTACGTGCTCAGCTGAGACATAGGAAGGCATGGAAGAGCATGACACGTTTGCGAGAACGAGGAGCTGACTATGATGGGTGGAAAGGGCCAGCAAGAGGGATAGCTGGAGAGATTGACATCAACCGTTTTACGAAGGATTTTGAATCCCAAACTAAGGAATTTAGCTTTTGTCTTGTGGTCAGTGGGAAGCCAGACAAGGTTTTGGAGCAAGAGTGGACTAGTCGGAGGTACTATCTATCCCTGCATGGATCCCAGAGTCAGAGCTGTGGGCCCTGCCCAACATCACTGTAACCCATACCTGCTCTACTGTTTTTGCCCAGATGCAGTACCCAGGCCCATGGTACAAGTGTTCATCGCTATATCTGGGGATGCTCAGCCCCCCAAGACTTGCCAGGCATTCCTGTCCTGTTGGGTCCCCAACATCACTGACATAACCTATAGCTGGCGACAGGAAGGGACCGTTGACTTTGGTATCAAGTCACATGGCCTCTTCACGGATGGACAGGTGTTGAGGGTTTCCCTGGGACCAGGAGACAAGGGCACGGCCTATTCCTGCATTGTCTCCAACCCTGTGAGCTGGAACTCGACTATAGTCACCCCCTGGGAGAGCTGCCACCATGAGGCAGGTATGCCATGGGCCAAGGGTCAGTGTGGGATGGTAAAGCATCAAGTCCACCTCTGACCCTTCTCCCTCCATGTCCTGCACCAGGGAAGGCCTCCTACAAAGATGTGCTGCTGGTGGTGGTGCCTGTCTCGCTGCTGCTGATCCTGGCTGGTCTCCTCTCTGCCTGGCACTGGGGCCCCTGCTCAGGTGGGAGTCCTGCACATGCTGGAGGGGGTGGAGGAGCTGAAGAGGAGGGCAGAGTTTGGACCTCCTCCTATTTGCCTTCGGATTGTCTGCCCTCCTCACCTCTCCCACATCATCTCTTGGCCTTCTCCGTCTTGTATTCCGGCCTCCAATCAGACTTGAAGTATCTTTTGTAGTCCTTCAAATGAACTATTCTTTTACATATATCTTCAGGCCTTTGTACATCCCGTTTTCCCTTTCTGGAACACACTTTCCATGATTTCCCCCTCAACTTCTTCATTAGGTTATACCCTACATGATCTTCAAGGTGTGTCTGCTCCAGGAAGCCTTCTTGACTTTATTCCCCACCTTCAGCCTGGATTAGTGTCCTGCCTTTAATGTCCATTGCCTACCCCCACTCACAGCACTGATTTAACTTACACTCCCACTAAATTCTCAACCCTTTAAAGGCAAAGGCTAGGTCACTACTGGGCATCAAGCAATGGTTTCTGTTACACAGCTGGTATCAATAAAGGTTTGTTGCGTGAAAGTCTAGTTGAATCCCAATCCCTTGTTGCCTAGGAAACACTCCCTGAGCACAACGCTTCTCTAGCCCGGAGCTGATGTGCCTCTTTGCTAAGGAGAAGAGGAAAAGGGGAAGTCCGAGGGCAGCCAGGCTCCGAGCTCCACACCCCTCAGCCCTGCCTTCGCCCCAGAATGCCCGGCTCCTGAAAGAAACTCATCCACTGGCCTGTGCTTCATGGCTGTGTGCACTCCAGGCTGTATGGGCTTGCTGACCCCGGTGGGGGTGGGGGGGGTCAGCCAGGAGAAGGAGGCAGGAGACCTGAGCCACTCAGCACAGAGAGGGAGTAGATGATTGGCTCTTGTTTGTTCTTTCCCTGAGGCAGGGGGGCAAGCAGCTGGGGTCACACTCCACCCAAGGGTCCTGTCTGTCCCAGGCAGTCTCCAGAATTCAAGTTAATAATGTAGAAGCCAGGAGAAAAGCAACTTTTTGTGTTAACAGCCTTATTAACATATAACTCAAATACCATACAATTCACCTATTTAAAGTATATACAATTCAGTGGCTTTAATTTTATTCACAGAGTTGTGTATTGTGTATCTATCATCACAATCAATTTTAGAATATTTTCATTACCCCAAAAAGAACCCCCAAAAGCCCTTAGCCATCATTCCCTAATCAATGCCCCCTTTCCCTCCCGGCCTAGGCAGCCACTGATCTGCTTCCTGTCTGTATACCATCTATTCTGGACAATGCCCTGTTTGGTCCTTTGTGACTGACTTCTTTCACTCAGCTTAATGTATTCGAGGCTCAGAAAAGACTGGCTTTGGCCACCAACAAGAGACAGAAAGAACCCAAGAAAAAGGCTCCCCACAGGAAGTCCAGAGCCTGGCTCTGGCTCTGTTGTGTGGCCTCTGGACATTGAACTGAGTCCATCCCAGCTCTAAGTTTCTATATTTTTACAGCTAAATGTATGGCATAGTTGCAGAGGAAGGCTAGACATTAGGAAGAACTACCTGTCTTTGAAGTGCCTCCTTTTCCAGGGTCTTGAAAAAATAAGGGAAGAAATGTGGATGTTTTTTGTTTTGTTTTGCCGGAGGTGATCTTGGGCCAGGACAATTGGGAATCAGAGACCTTGGGCCAGGCCAAGGATGCTAAGATTCCAAATATTGAAGGGGTGACCTTCTTTCGTATCTCCTTGCCAGGGAAAAAGAAGAAGGATGGCTGTGCTAACGGAGTGGTCCCAGAGACAGAGACCCCCCTCGTGTAGTGTCTGTCATGAGGGAGCAGACAAACTGACACTGGATCCTGAGGAACCGCACTGCGCAGGCGCACGATGGTCTGGGACGCGGTTGGTACCTGGAAACGACCATGTTCCTCGTAGCTCCTGTGAGACTCCGTTCCACTTTCCAGGAGCAGCCTGGGCAGCCGTCACACTGGGAGGACAGAAAACACTGGCCTGACCTTCCATACCCTGCCCTTGCCCTCTCCCCTTGTTTCAGGTCCTGGCTTCAGTCTGGGCAAGATGGGCCTAAGAGGAAATTCCCTAAAGGACTCTGGACATTCTCCAGGACCCACGGGGACAGTGACGGTCCAGGGCATTCACTTCCCTCCACTGTTCAGGAAGTATTGTTATGGACTGAATTTTTCCCCTCAAAATTCACATGTTAAAGTCCTAACTAACCTCAGTATCTCAGAATATGACTGTTTGGAGATAGGGCCTTTAAAGATGTAACTAAGGTTAAATGAAGTCATTGGAATAGGGCCCTAATCTAATATGACTGGTGTCCTTATAAGAAAAGGGAGAGACATCAGAAATGCACAGAGAGAAAGAGAAATGACCAAGAGAGGGCACAGAGAGAATGAAGCAAAGATTGATGCCTCTGGAGAAACCAAATCAGCTGAGACATTGATCTTGGACTTTCAGTCTCCAGAACTGTGAGAAAATAAATGTCTGCTGTTTAAGTCACCCAGTCAGTGGTACCTTGTTATGATAGCCCTGACAGACTCATTAACCAACTTGCACCAGAAAATTCCCTCCAGCCTGAGTCCCAGGCTTTAAAAGACATTGAACCTCTGAACTAACTGTGAATCTCTGAATGGCCCACTTCCAGCCCCAGTCTCAGCCCTAGCCCAAGCTCCTGTAATCTGAGACCTTGATGCTTCCTGATGACCAAGGCATTATCCTAAGAAAAGGTCTAGAAATAGGCGAAGGTGGGAGCAGAAAGACAAGGGTTTCTCTTTGGGGCCTGACAGACTTTCAGATCATCTGAGTTCATGGTCCTTAAAGGTAATTTACAATTATAGATCATCAAAGGATGATTGATATCCCATGGTTAGGAAGGGTGTCATTTTACAGGCAACACCTTTTTAATAGATAACTTCACCCTCTCTGCTGCCCATCATGCCTCCTATAGGAACTGGGAGTGGGATTCGAGGGTCTCTCCTCACTGTCTAACACAGTAACCACGAAAAAATATATTCAATTTACCCCAGCCAACAGGAAGTTTTTGCACAATTTCAAGAAAGCAGCTCAGCTCGAGGTGAGTGTCTCTACCTTAGACTGAGAGAGGAAAGAGCTAGGAAAAGCTAAGCAGAAGAAAAATTACAAAGGGGAAGGGTGCTAAGGCATCCTGGCATCTGACATGCTAATTTTCAGGTGCAAGTGCAGAAGATCCACCCAAGTTCAGGGGTAGAGGGAAAAGATCCCACAACTCAATGGGAAAATGGTCAAGGTCACTTTGAAAGAACTTGTTGGACGAAAGCGATTATTGTGGCCATCTTTGGAAAATACTACCTGCCACTAAGTCATTCTGTCTAGAAAAGCTCTTGGGTATTGCCACTGGAAAATAACTTGATGAGCTGAACTTAGAGGTTACTAGATGATAAGGCTCATAGTTACTCCCTTCCAGATGTAATTGGATTTTTTCTGGGGCTTCACTCAACTCTTGATAATAGAAAGGAAGAAGGCATGGAATAAACGGGGGTAGGTTTAGAAGTATTTTCCCAGAGTGGCTTCTATCACTCCATCTAGTATGTTAGTCCAGTCCAAGGATCTTTCCTCTTCACCTCAATTCCGGACAATCATTTCACCTTGGATAAATGGTCAGTGCAACTGGCCTGCAGATTCATATCGCCACCCCTCCGTTTGACTAGTCCTGGAGTTTCCCTGCCTGTTGGCTCTGCTCAGAGATGTCCTGCTAGTCACTTAGCTTCACCTAATCTTCATGCCTTTCCTATACCCACTTCGCTCCCATCTCCCAAGTCTACAGAACACTCACAGGGCCACCCGCCCTGGCTGTTTGTGTTGCTCCCACCTGCCAGTACAGACATTTCTCACATCTGGTCAGTGAATCATGCAAAATTGGCCTCACTTCCTAAAATTATGTGAAAGAGAAAATCCAAGATCTAGCAAGGGACCATGGTGGCAGTATGAGGAACACACACACACACACACACACACACACATACACACACACACCATGCCCCACCTTACTCTCCTTCATCCCCAGAGTCCCAGAGTCCCACCTCAGATCAGAGCAGTTCTGGATGGGATGGAGCCCACACTTCTCCCTTCATGAGGTGACCTCATTTAGACAGTGGTTTTGTAGGATGGTGCACCAGGATCTTTTTGGACACATCTACTCTGTTCAAATAAATTGGTGTTCCCATCCACAATGACTCACTTGTCAACTAGTAGACAAATGAACGCTCCAGTGAAAAACTCAAAGTGCTTCCGTGAGAACAATATTTGTGTTATTAAGCATTAGGGTTGATGCTTTAAAAGTCACACAAAAACAAGTATTGTTTGAGGGTCAAATGTATGCTAGGTACACTTTGAGGCACTAGGAAATCAGCATTGAACAAAGCAATGCCCTTCCTTTATAAAGTTTATATTCTAGATAATTAATAAGCAAGGAAGTATATGCCAGGGGTTGATAGGTTCCATTAAGAAAGATAAGCAGGGTAAAAGGCTAGAGAGTGATGTGTTGAAGAGAAGTGGTCCGTCTTTGGATAAGGGGATTAGAGGACACCTTCTGATGAGCTGATCTTGGAACAGAAACCCGATGACGCAGAGTCAGCCATGCAGTATCTGGGCAGAGAGCATTCCAGAGACCAGAAGATGGGAAGGCCCTGTAGTGAGAGCGTGGCTGGTGTTTATGAAAACCAGAACAGAGGCCAAGGTGACTGGGTCAAAACAAGAGAATAAGTTTGTTTTTGTTTTGTTGAATGTTTCTTACGTTTTTGTTTTATATTCCACATATGAGTGACATCATATGGCTTTTGTCCTTTTCTGACTTATTTTACTTAGCATAATATCCTCAAGATCCATCCGTGTTGTTGCAAATGGCAATATTTTATTGTTTTTATTTATTTATTTATTTATTTTTTGTTTATTTGATTGTTTTTATGGCTGAGCAGTATTCCATTGTGTGTATGTACCTGGTCTTTATGCATTTATCTATCGATGGACACAGGTTGTTTTCATATCTTGCCCATTGTGAATAATGCTGCAATAAATATAGGAGTGTATATATCTTTTCAAGCTAGTGTTCTCATATTCTTCAAATAAATACCCAGGAGTGGAATTGCTGAGACATATGGTAGTTATATTCTTAATTTTTTGAGGATCCTCTATACTGTTTTAATAGTGGCTGCACCAATTTTCAATCCCACCAACAATGCACAGAGGTTCCCTTTGTTCCACATCCTAGCCAACACTTGTTATTTCTTGTCTTATTGACAATATCCATTTTTAACAGGTGTGAGGTAGTATCTTATTGTGGTTTTGATTTGCATTTTTCTAATAATTAGTGATGTTGAGCTTCTTTTCACATGTCCATTGACCATCTGTATGTCTTCCTTGGAAAAATACCTATTTCGATTCTCTGCCCATTTTTTAATTGGGTGCTTTGGTGTGTGTTTTAGTTGTTGTTGAGTCATATGAGTTCTTTATATATTTTGGATATTAACACCTGAACAGAAATATCATTTGCAGTTTTTTTCTTCCATTCTGTTGTTTGCCCTTTTGTTTAAAACAGAAATGTAACAACAACAATAAATAAATAAACAAAACCAACAACACAAAAACAAACTCATGCCCTGGCCTGTTTGGCTCAGCGGTTAGAGCGTCGGCCTGCGGTCTGGAGAGACCCGGGTTCGGTTCCCGCTAAGGGCATGTACCTCGGTTGCAGTTTGTCCCCGGCCCTGGTTGGTCGTGCGGGTGGCAGCCACTCGATGTGTTCCTTTCACGTCGATGTTTCTCTCTCTCTGTTCCTCTCCCTCCCTCCCACTCTACCTGAACAAAAAATGAAAAAATGTCCTCGGGTGAGGATAAAAAAAAAACAAACTCATAGATACACACAGAGTGGTGGTCACCAGAGGGGAAAGGGGTTGGGGGAAGGGAAAATGGGTAAAGGTGAGGAATGGAAACCAGACTTTTATTGGTGAGCATGCAATAGAGTATACAGATATTGAATTAAAATCGTGTACACCTGAAATTTATTTAATGTTATTAACCAATATTACCTCAATTAAAAATAAATTAATTAAAAAACAAGGGGGTGAGAGTGGAGGGGGTGTGTCAGAGTAATGGCGTTGGGTCACAGTACATGGGACCTTGCGGTCTTGAGAATACCTCTTCCCTGGGGTGAGGGTGGCCAGAGAGCCCTTGTCAGATTCCTCCCATGGCGACCTTTGTACTATTATTTCCAGTAGGCTCATGGTCAGACCAGAATCCTCTCTAAATGTGCTTTTGTTTTTTTTGTTGTTGTTGTTTTGTTTGTTTGTTTTTTCCTTGAGTAAGACCCTCTGTACCTGTTCTTGCTGTACAAAGAACAAATATAAGAGCTTGCTGAGGCAAAGGCATCACGTGACATGTTGTCAGAGAGAATGGAGCAGGAGTCTAGCAAAAGAAAAGGGTTAGAGAGACATTCATTTCATCAACGGAGACAGGAGCACCCAATGCCTTGTTTAAGAACAATGGCTGCAAACATTAGTAACATCTCTGGCAAATCTTCCTTCCATGTTTATTAGAAGTAGCACCTGTTTAGTTCATCAGCACGTGGTTACTTACTGGGCTTTGGAGAAGCACCATCTCCCTCCAGCTCTGACTTGATGGCTCCCTGTATCTGTTCTGCATGCAGCCTGACAGAGAGCCTCTCAAACAGCACACCCCCAAATCCGGGACAGTCTTAGTGGGTGTCTCCCCTCAAATTGTGCACTGCTCACTTGGGTCCCATCTGCCAGGAGGGCCAGGCTGAGCCCATGGGTGAGTAGTGGGGACACTCCACTGTACAGCTGGCCTGGGTCCAGTTCTGGAAGCCACACTTCAAGGGAGACACTGGAAAACTCCAATGTCCAGAAGAGAATGACCAGAATGGTAAAAAGTCTAGAAACCTTATCATATGAGAAATGATTAGAGAAACCCGTCAGCCAGGCCAGTGTGGCTCAGTGGTTGTGCGTTGACCCATGCACCAGGAGGTCACTGGTTTGATTCCTGGTCAGGGCACAAGCCCAGGTTGTGGACCAAAACCCCAGAAGAAAGCATGCAGAAGGTGGCCAATCGATGTTCTCTCTCATTGATGTTTCTCTCTCTCCCCCCTCCCTTCCTCTCTCTAAACTCAATAAATAAATAATTTAATAAAAAAAAGAAATAAAGAAACCAGTCATATGTCACCTTGAACAAACAGGTTAGAAGGCCATAAGTCCTTGAA